TTCAACCCCCCCCCCCCCCAAGGTCAGATAAATCTCACATTGCTTTGGTTATAACCTACTTAAAATGCGTTGAACTGTTATTTCGTCGCAGAGTCATTAGTATGACGAGCATTCACAAAATACGGTATACGAAGATACCAAATATCCTTGATTTGAGCAGCTCCTGAATGGAAAGATCACATGATGTCACATGAGGTGCTAGCACTGCAGATACTCTGAGCATTGTCCCTGAGAAGACGACCCAGAGACAGAACTGCAAACCAGGTGACTCAATCATAGAACGGACTTGAAACTGCCATTTGGATACTTTGAATCCAGGCTAGGGAAACCACGTAATTAGCGGAGGATCAAGAAAACTGCAAAAGCTTAATGAAACAACTGCTCCTACAACTTAAAAGATCAACAGGCATTGGAAATGAATAAATAGTGAAAAAGATGTTGGGGTGCTAAAAATGAATGATCGAGTTTTGGGAACAATTTGACGTAAAAATTTAGTTTTTAAAAATCTTTTCGAAAATTCCGCTAAAGCAATTAATAACGTAAAATTTTAAGTAAAACGAATGACAGCCTCACTTTAAAAACCAGACATTAGTCATTCAAGAACATGAATTAAAAAATTTAAACAAAGTTACTAACTTTTCCTCGATGTTGACCAGTTAGTATGATGACGATGGTTCCTGGCGTAAGGGAGGGCTTCAATCGCGGGGGTTGTCTAACTCTTTTCGTGGTTCTTTCCTTTTTCCGCTTGCGTTCCATCAACGGCAACAGTCGGCGCTGTAACAATCACAAAACGACTTTACAAAGTTGCAAAACATCTATGCATGACTCGTTGTAACTGATTAGATTAAGTCACGATCGATCAATCGTCCGAACGGTCAAACGATTTTTCTTCAAATTTAATTCTCTCCTGGTTGACCGTACACTACAATATACGTTGCACAATTGGTTACATGTACATGTAAGCTACATCGCATGCTACTCTGCGTCCTAAATGTTACATACAGAATTCAGCAACATCCGCAACTTAAACGTTCTTCGCTATAAATATATATTACTTAAAACACATATTATTTGCGGTTTATTCATAACTCGTTATAAACTGTAAAAAAAAATTCATAAATAACTGAAAAATCAAATGATGGCTCAGAGTTAAGTATCTGAGCCATACCTACGGTTGCATTGTAATTTTGTTGTACTTGTTAAACCAAATCACAGTCACTGTGGGTCCTTCATTATTGCTACCATATTCAACGTTAATAAATTGCTTTAATTGCACTGTGATCGATTCGACCAATTGTATTAATAAATACAATGTAAGTTATACCATCGTTTAATACGATAAGATGCATGTAGTCTATACAGAATATATCTGTATCTTTTGCATGCTATATATATGATAAAAAATACCATCTTTACATAGGTGTGTATTTTACAATCCAGACATTTATTTTACCTTGTAATTTGTGCATAACGATAGCGTTTCTTTCACGCGTTGGTGATCATACTGAAAAAAATAGCTAAAACTTTTTACTTATACACAAACAACAGATATTGTGGTTAGTCCAGTGACCGTCCAGTATCAACGCCTAATCATTCTATCCTGCGAAAACGTCAACTGAGACAAAGGATACGAACTCGAAGCGGACTGGATGAGCCTCGTTGCACCTATCGCACAAAAACAATTTAACCAGCAGCACGTATCGAACGCTTGCTTTTTGGATGTGAAACTCCAAATGCTGCGGAACGATCTGCAACAATTACGAGGCAGTTGAAGAAGGCCTGTGAGACACGAGCCGAAACATCGGTACTGCTCAGTCGCCGGACTGACCATGCTATCATTTGTGTCGTGTAAACCGAGTTTAACGCTATTTTGTGCATAAAGGTGTAGAAAAAAGTTGTCGGTAATAAGAGTGCTTTACCGCAATATCGCTTAGCCTACCTCTAAAACCGAAGCGTCTGCGCTGCTTCGTGTATGCTTAAATTTACAGTATAGGATGGGGAGATAACAACTCTAGATAGGAAAACAGAAATTTTATGACATTAATATCATGCACCTCCCTGTAGTATACGTCTGTGCTTTCTGCTATACCTTTTACCTTCGAATGAGACGCGTCTAATAATGCTCAAATACCACGGAGCCATAGACCATTTCAATGATTTTCTTAGAGGGCGGTGCAGTACCTATGAAATCTACTCTTGAACTTAAATGCTTGTTATTCTGAAATACACCTATATAAAGGATATATGAACTACACCGAAACCATGACCAATAAAATCCAAATAAATTTTATTACAACAATGAATTGACGTCCTTGCCTAGTATATTTAGACATTCATAATGAAGTTGACCATAAATTCAACAATTACGCTGTGTACATTAATATATTACACGACTTTAATTTAGGATACGTTTTTTCTTACCCCACAGCATCGAAACACGCCGGATGCCCCATCTGCATTCCAGTTAAATCGAATAAATATGTTCACTTTCCAGTCCCACTGCTGCCGTGCAGTTCTATCGACATCTCCATTTTGCTGGAGGTCTTTCACGCAACTGTTTATCATCACGCTTTGCGTTAAGTACCCACTTCGTCCATTGATTGAAAATGACCCCCATCATCTGAACACTTTGCCTGCAACTAACCGATCATTTCAGCTGGATTTCCAAATCTCTCTTACAACAGTACTTGACATCAAATCATGCCATTTCACTATCAATAATGAGCTTAAAATTTTTGTTTTTAGCTTTGTTAGCCTGCCGCTTTCAGGCAATAGAGCATGATGTTCAGAATGCAAGTCCGAAGCCAGATGTTACTGCCAACACCGCTGACCTTCCAGAGTTTGAATAATGTGTTGTTCGCCGATATATCAAACATACGGAGCCTGTCAACTTTGTTTGCCGATCATCTATCTGTAGCCAATATACTCTCAATATGCATATGTTCTGATACCTTACGCACAACTTCGATATCAAGGGTGAGACAGCAATTGGTCTGGGTTCTACAAAATTCCATCCACTTCGTCTTCTTCAAGTTAATCGAGAGACTCGGATCAGAACACATCTGTTTCAAAATTAGAAACAGCGAGTAGCAGCTTTAAAGCATGTCTGCAAGCAATAAGAAATGATCCACAAATGCTAGGTGGTTTACGCATAAGTAGCCCATTACTGCCCCGTAGCATGATCTCTTCGTATTGGCTGACGCAATCAGTCAAGAAAGATCGCTAACACCAGATGAAAGTTCATTCCCTTTACTTCACTCTGAACATGACAAGAAAGAATTTGCTGGTTACCACCAATTCGCACTGCACCTGATGAAAGATCATAGATATTTTTAATTATAGGAACAGTCTCTGGTGGAATTCTATACAGTTCAGCAAACTTCTACTCATTTCTTACCTCTCATATATGAGTCAAACGCTTTGGTGAAATCGACAAATACAGCAAAGAAATTGGATCCCCATTCTCTCTTCTTTTCAGTTAACTGCCTCATCGTGAATATCTGGTCCAAACATCCCTTGCCTGTCCTGAATCAAGACTGCCCCCCATTCAAGATCTTCTTAAGAGGTTGTATAATCTTGTTCATCATAACACGCATAATCACATGAGCAAAAACAGACACTAGGCTGATTTCATATGTAATAACTCTTTTAAACATCTTTCATCCAGCCATTCGAGATCTCTAATCCAAAAAGATTAACTAATGTCATCACTCCGTTCATTCAAGGCTCGCTATTTGCCTCTGGTATGCCATCACTGCTGCAAAGTTTTTGCTGGTTTGAGACTTCGTTAACTTTTCCAAAAGTGGTCGAAAATCACCGTCCATCTTTTCTCCAGGCATATCATACAACGAATTTTACGTCACAACGACATCAGGGTTTAAGATGAATTTAAACTGTTTTCTTATATCTCAACGACTACTGTAGAATCGGGCGTA